TTTGGAATAAAATTATGTAAATTTATATAATAACATAGTAAAATCTACACAAATCTGTAATAAAATGAAGTTCACTAAAACTGAGGCATGAAAGAATTACTTGAGGGTCCACTGTATTATTGGGGGGAAAAGGTTGAAAAACAACCCTATATTTTTAAGATGCTACTTACTTTACACTTTAGATCATGACATTGTAAACTAGGATGGTAGTGGGGTTTTCTCTAGGTTTTCTACATATACTCTTATGAGGCTGGGAGAGGCAGAATAAAGAAAGTTAGAAAAACATCTTTTGCATCCTCCCTCAAAACCTCCTTAAATAGCTTTAGTAATTTATACAAATTTACAAAAAACAATTAAGAAAATATTCTGAAATTGCTCTAAGAAAAAATTTGTGATAATGCAATATGTGATATTTCCAAGATACACTATGTATTTTTTCCTGCTTAATCATTTAATATATCCAATCTAAACAAGCCATGTGTAAAACTGAAAGGAAATTTAAAACATTAACAGTCCACTAAAATTTGCTTCAAAATAATTGTGAAAGGGTGGGAGTTACAGAGAAAACAAGATTAGCCAAGTGTTCCTGCTGGTGGTAGGTGATGAGTTCATGGGGATTCAAGTTTCTCTTCTATCTACCTGTTTTGTTTGAAGCTATCCATAATAGTCATTAAAACGCAAAATTAATCATGTATGGAAGAGTGCATTTGTTTTTAAAGCTTTGGGAAAATAATGATAATTATGTTGGAAATATTGCAAGAGCAACTGAAAAGAATGTATATGACATATACAATAACATTTAGACTTACACATAACAATTTTCACCTTTCCTGTTAAATTTTCACTTGATGGAATACTTGGTTTTTAAACATTGGGATTTAAAGAATTACATCGCACTGTACAAAAAAAATAAACATTTTAATATTGAAGCATAAATAAAAGAAAACAGACCAGAAAAAGAAGACTTCAATGAGTCACTAAACCTTTAGGGACAGAATTAAATAGAGAGGTGTTGACTGAGAACAGGGCCCTGTCCCTCTGAAAGCTAGTCACACTTATAGGAGTAAAGATAAAAGGTTTAATCATATAAATCATAATCTACATGCATATAAAAACTCACAAGCTACATCCTTGATACAGTTTGGATATCTAAAATTCTTATCTTTCTATGAAGGGTTCCTTTCAAAGCAAAGCATTTTTAATAGTCATTTTCTTCTCCTTAAACATAAAAAATACTTCAACCAGCCCAACCAGCCAAGCAGGCCTTTCTCTTCCCCTGCGGACACCTCCTGCAGTAGAGAAGTTCATTAAGTTTTATGATCTTCCCAAGTCAGTCCTGCTTATAAGCCTCACAAAGGCCACAAATCTGGCAAACCATCATGTATGCCATTAGACATTACTAGTAAATGAACGCTATTTAGGGTTTGTGGTGGCAATAAATCAGAGTTTGGTTGGCAGCTATCAACATGGAGTATTTTAACCTACCATTTAAAAAAAGGAAAAGGTTGTGTTGATTTTTTTTAAAATATACAACATTTTTTTCACAATGATTGAGATTATATACTAAAATATTGGATTTTCATTAAAAAATTTTAGATACATTTTTTTTCCCCTCAAAAAGAGCCATTTCCTTCACTTGAAATGTCACAATTAAGGGCACTGGAAAGAAGGGAGATTTGTGAGGATGTTTTCACAAAGGAAAGTACGTTAACAATCAAGATGAAGGTGACCAAAAGATGTGAGGGAATGTACCAAAAAAAAGTATGTAGATGAGGAGACCTCATAGCATCAGGGATGTTTAATAAGAGATAGATGATAAAATATGGCTAAAAAAAAACCCAAAAGACAAATCTTAACATATTTATCTCACTGGTTGCTTAGTTTAAAATGCGCAAACATCTTGATTATAAAGCCTGTTACTTTTCAGTTGCTTTCAAAATGCATAAATACCGTAATTTAACAATGACAGACTTTTCTTCCCAAAAATAACTGTATGATGAATTTGACCAAAAAAAATACATTTTCAAGAAAAAGCAAGCATCTCATAATAAAAGTATACTTTCCCTACCTCTGCACAAGAAAATAATATAATTGTGGTAGATTACCCATTTATCTGTCAGAAGGAAAAAATACCTTTCCATATTTAGTAGGAGGGAAAAAAGATGTTTTCCAAACTAAATTCCTCATGTGCATCAGAACTGGCAATGTTCACTGTTTGATCAGAAATCTAAAAATCTACTGGCAAACCTACAAATACATGGAATTTTTTTTTAGTGATTGTCTTATTTTCTAAGAAGCACAACTGAAATGACATTATTATCCATTGAAGTGATGGTTTTCTCTCCCCACTCCCCGATAGTCAACCCCCTTTACCACCCCCTCCCACCCGCCTCGAGCCCCATTATACAGAATAGAGTCATCACATAATCTTCCCAGTTTCTATTACAAATAACTAGGTAAACTTTCTCTAGATTACAGAAAATTAATGTCTGGCTACTATATTATTAGATTACATAAAATGATCTAAAGAAAAAAACATTATACAGTCTATTCTACAATGCTTATAAGTTCATGATGTTTCCAAACCATGACTATGGGAACCGATTCAGGGGGTGGGGGAGGCTGAAATTTGCTGCCTTGCTTTCTTTGCTTTGGTGAGGCTCATGTCTACACAGCTGTTTTATTTCAAATCAAGGCTTCTGAGTCCAGCTTCCCTGTTTCCTTCTAAGACTAGTTTTGGAGGGTGAGGTGGAGCTATGAGTAGTAGGGGAGAAATGAGGGGAGAGAAAGAGCTTCACCCCCATCAATCATTCGGTACTTAAATCCCATCCCTCTCGAGCTTAGAGAGGCTGGCAGGAAGATGCCTGTAACCAGACAGCCGTCTTTACTCTGTCGGCTGTTAGCTTTTTACAAAAGAGATAACATACAAACTTGGATCCACTGGCCAAAGCACAAAAAGAGGATCTAATTTACCATTTATCACTGAAAGTCTCAGGAACAATTTTCAAACACAAAAATTTCCTTTGTCAGCTACCTCTTGCTTTTTAAATAGCAAGAGCCCTACACCAAAGCTCTTTCTGCCAGACTCTAAAAAGACTTGTTTCTTTTTCGCAACTCACCTTTGACATGAGGTTGACTATACTTTCCTTTCAGAATGGTGTAACTAAGTCTTGTGCAAATAAGCAACTAGAGGACTTATGCTTCCTAATTGAATTGTGCCTGCTGCTAAATGTCTAAACAAGAAAAGCAGTTTGCTGGGTATGGTTCTCAAGGTGGCTAGGCCAAAACTTTAAAAAGGAAAAAGAAAAGAAATTATAAGAGGATGAGGGGAAAATATCAATCCCCTCACCCCAGTAATATAATGCCGTATAAAGTGGAATCAATCTTAATATTCACAACATAGTCAATACCCCAGTGCTTAGCTGTCAGCAGAAACTGAAGTGGAGCCCTGATAGCAAGAAAATCCTTGGACATTAAGCAACATAATTTGCTGAGAATTATATACTTTTAGGCTTCTAAACTAAGAAGCCTTAAGATTTCATACTTAATGTTTTATTTTATAGTCAGATAAAAATTATCTACCATTTCAAATCACAATGCTTTCTAAAGATAGCTAAAAATCAACACAGGGTAAAAGTTAGTAATTTAACATGTCTGTGGTTTACAAAATGAAAAATATATCTTTAATAGAATCACTCAACATTAGGAAACCATGAATACTAAGTGAATGAAAGGCAGAAAAAACTACTCGTTAAGGCTGTCAATATTTGCTATTAATTATGGTTTTAGCATATATTTTAATAGACAGCAATAACCCATCATCCTTTCTTGACTACTTTTAGGATCAGAATAGCATTGCAGAGTGAAAATCTGTTTAAAAAGAGGGCAACTAACAATTATATGCAGTGTGCTATTACTTGTACACTCAATTTAAACGCAATCACACTTAACCTTTTAAATAGTATCACTTGAATATTGTTACATTCTGGACTTTAACTTTCTCTTCTTTGCCTAAACATAAAAAAAAATGGCAACTTTATAATATGGTATAGCCAACACACACCAAAAATATAAATAAAAATAAATAAACAGTAAAGCTTGTTTAATGCACTTGTTTGCCATAAACAGGGCAGCTAATACCAAATACTAACTACAACATCTAGATTAAATCTATAATTTCACTTGAGTTATAACTGTCACCTCAAGACTAAAACATCTTCAATTTTAAAAAGTCTTAAGAAAAAAAACTAAATTGAAATGAATTGCCAGAAATTTACCTAATAGGCACTTGTAGTTTTCATTCCAGCACTTCTGCCAAAACTGTCTCCTCATATCATCCCTGACTTGAACACCTCAAAAATGGTTTAACCTGCATCTGTGACCTTTTCTCTATTTTGCAAAAGATATTAAGCAAATGTACAAAATGACTTCAAGCATAAAACAGACTAGAAATATGAGGAGGTGCAATACACTGCGTGTGCTTAAACGCATCATTAGCCTTCCTCGCTTCTTAAGAGTAGTCTCCCCAACTCGAACACTCCTCCCCACCGGCCCCTGAAGTCTGCTCCACGGCATCTACCCTCTGTCCGAGGGGCTGCCGCTCAAGGCTGTCCAAGTAAAACAAAGTTCGGGCGCCGCTTCTCCCCGGGACGCGGTCCCCGGCATCCAGGCTCCCGAGGCTCCTTTTAAAAACTGACAGACCAGGCACCGGGAGCGGGAGAGGGCGGCAGGCGCTCCGGGCCCCCTCCCTGCCGGCCGCCCGGGCCCGGCGACCCGGCCCCGTCCACATCTACACTTCATTGTACACCGGGAACAGCGCGGAGAAATCGACTCCAGATTTATGGCAGTTTTTTTTTTCTCAAGATCGGGAGGTGGGAAGGAGAGAATGATCAAAGATGGCGGTGCCCAAAAGCAGCAGCTCTCCACTGGAGAGTCGCAGGAGTCGCTCCGAGACCCCGCCTCGGGGGTCCCCGGGCCCCGTGCGGGGCGCAGCGTCTTACCTGTTTTCTCTTTGATCTCGCACAGGACGCTGAAGAGCGCGGGTTTCATTCTGTGACAGTTCAGGGCATGTTTCCTAAAGAGCAAAGAGCAAAACACAAAGGTATTAGCATCACCTATGGAATAATATGGCGCCTCCAAGTTAGACCCAAGACTTAAATCCCGGCTCCCCGCTCTGCCAAGCTCCGGTGAACCCTGGCAAGTCCGCAGAAACTCCGGCGGACGGGGGAGCGGCAGCCGGCGAGCCCGGCGGCTGCACGCTCCTGCCCGCACTGGGCGCGACCCGTTCCGCCCGGCGCGCAGCAGCCTTGGCGACGCAGGGCGCGAACCCGCACGGGGAGCCGCGACACCGGGGCGGGCGGCGACCGGCGGAGGGGACGG